AATGCCACAGATATGTTATTGCCTGGAAAATGAGCAACCTCCTTTTATACAAGGTCTTCAGCTGACCTCCTGCTAAGTCTTGCAAGTCTCATCCTTTAAGCCAGGGTGCACATCTCTCTGATGTAGTTCAGGTCTTGATAGCCTGCAGTCAGAAGGCAAATCCCTGTACTTATTTCCCATGTATCAGCAGACAGCTCTCATAGTGTACCTACCTTAACCTTGGAGTGGAGTATTTGAAATAGTCAGTGATACACTATTTTCAGACTGTTTTTAACTATAGTTTTAGTCACTACAGCATCCCATGCAGAACTGTTCAAAGACATTTCATATCAGGGAGGCAGCTTGAGCATCTCCTGAGTTTGACTCGTTTAGTAACAAATTTTTCTCCTTGCCCTTCTCTTTGTCTTCTCTGGTTGTGTCCTCTGTTTTCTTGTCTCGTTCACCTCCTCTTCTCCCTTATCTCTCCCCTGACCTTTCCTGATGTTACTTCTTGTGGTAAAAATGTTTGTTTCCTGTGTGTAATATGTTAGTTGCTTCTTCCTCCTTTAAAACTGGTGATGATTCTGGTGACCTGCTTGGGCAATATCAATGAATACTGTTCATACACTGGATCCAATACGCCAATGGTCTAAACTCGTCATCTCTCTGGAAATTACCTTGGATTCTTCAAACCTTCCCTTCTATATTCCTTACATTGTTTTGGTCAATAGAGGAAGAATGGATTGATGGACCACGATGATTTCAGAGCTTGCTTAATTTCAATGGGTTATGATTTGGTATGAATTTTAAGAAACAATGGCAACTGATTCTGCTTACAGCTTATGACATTAACCACAGCAACACTGAAGCTTATTTAAATTGCCAGAATACTAATAATATAGTTTACACTAGAGATGCTAGTTTCTTGTTTCTTTGCTTTTTCTCTATTTTCAAATGGTTTAAAAGGAAGTTAAAAGTAAAACTAGACACTTGAAAACCATACTCTATGGTCCACTGCATTACTCTTTGAATTAAGGAGACTTTAAAAGTTGAAATTAACTGTTATTAAATGATTATTTTTTTTTTTTCTTTCTCCTTTCTTATCTGCATGAGCAAGAATGAGTTTGATGCTGTTTAATTCTCATAAACTAGCTTTGGATGTTGCATCTGCTTTCCTTCACTTATTTATTTTAAAAATTTCCCCCCAAATTCACCCTTTTTTAGTGGAAAAAAGGATTAGCCTTAGTTGAACTGTCCTGTATTTGGCATGAAATTTTGAGAATTGTTTCCCTTACTTCTTAGTTCAGTCGGTCTGCAAGTACACTGCTTCTTGGGCTATTGTTTCACCTCCCTGTGCGGTACCTAAATTACAGTGACTTTAGGATGGGGTGGACAATGAAGTGTTAAATATAAAACAAGTTAAACAGGCATTGAGGGAGGGTAGAAGGGGGGAGAAGTTGCAGAAAGTTAATTGAAAAGTACATACTACGTCTTTAGGACAAAGAATACATTTTTCAAAAGCATGGAGTCCTTTTTACAAAAGATGGGTGGGCAGTTAAGATCCCAGATTTCATCGATTCTGACAGTTATGTTGCTAAGTCAGGAGGATGCTTTAAAGACTTTGTAACGACTGGTCCCTACTGGTTCATGAGCGATGCGGGCTGTTGGCAATTGATATTACAGTGACCACTTTTTTTTCTTTTGGATTCTGTGAAAGGGTGAAGCTGAGTTTGCCCGAATCATGTCTCTGGTTGACCCCAATGGGCAAGGAACCGTCACTTTCCAGTCCTTCATTGACTTCATGACCAGAGAAACGGCAGACACAGACACGGCTGAGCAAGTGATAGCTTCCTTCAGAATCCTGGCTTCAGATAAGGTCAGTCATGCATGGTGCTGCTGGCTGTAAGGATTCAGTAGCTCTCCTATTTAGCCCTTCTTTGCTGAAAGTCTTATAGAAGCCTTTTAGTAATACTGAAGCTTTGGTTTCAGTTTGTAAGACTTCAGAGAAAGTACTTGCCTTTTCTTCTTGTTTGGAACCAAGACTCTTAGCTGAAATGGGTGCAGAATTCAAGGCTTGATCTGTGTCCCCGTGTATCACAAAGCGCCAACATAAAATTAGACAACTTAGACAAGACTTAGACAGTTTGTCTGTCTAATGGATATATTGTACATCAGGTTATTTCCACACAACAGCCTTGATTAGCGGGGAACTCATTCTGCCTTTCCTGCTGTTGTCCGGATATTTCAATGCAGAGTTTGGCCCTCTGGAACATAGCCTGGGTCAATTGCACAAGCCTGTACCTAATTGTGAGCCATGTTATGACCTGACAGCTCGTTCAACAGGGCGATGCAATGTGAGGTACCCCTGTCCTTGGAGGAGCAGGAGGAGGAGGCCTCCTCTAGTTACTGGGTACGTGGAGGAAGCTCCTGAATTTGGCATACTTTCCTTCCCACAGCCAGATCCTCTGGCGAGTAAGTGGTGTATGAAGATGAAAGGGAGGATAATGGCAACACAAGAGCTTCTGGAGGAGTCAGGGCCATAAACAGTGCTGCCAGGAAACCAATCTTGTGCTATGGAGAAAGATGAGATCACAGCAGTATTTGCCCAAGCTCGCTCTATTGATTTTCTCATTCTGGCTGTTTGTATTGATTTTGTGATCTCAGTTACTGTGGACCATATTTTGAATTCCTGTGGAAGATGAAAGCCAAGGTCTCGGGAAAAAATGGTTTTCATTACGTTGCTATTTTAAATAATGTCAAGTCTGTTAACAGAGGGTATCCTTCATATCATAAATGCAAACCATTAAAAGCAATAATGCATCTTTCATTACAAATATATTAGGACCTTGAAACTAACAGGATCTAACTGAAAATGTGTCTGTCCTGTCACTGCGGAAGGGGCAGTTGTGCACTTTAGAGATACTGACTACCTGTCCACGGATGAGCTGTATAAGTAGCAGCCTACCCATGGCTGCACAGTGCTCGGTAGCTAACATACGCAGTCGCATATCCTGAGACTGGATTTTGACCTAATCAGTTTGTTGGTAGGATTGTCCCCTTCAGCTCATCACTAGGGGTGGAATTTACCGAGGCAAATATTTGGTCTCAGGAAAATAAGCAGGATGTCTGAGTTTATTAGTCACAGCTACAGAAAATAAATACGTTTTGTGTCTTTGAAGCATACATACTGAATTTGTCAATCCTTTCCCCCCTCCCAGCCTTATATCCTGGCAGACGAGTTACGTCGAGAGCTGCCTCCTGAGCAGGCTCAGTACTGCATCAAGAGAATGCCTCCGTACACCGGCCCAGGTTCTGTTCCTGGGGCTCTGGATTACACCTCTTTTTCATCAGCACTGTATGGAGAGAGCGACCTCTGATTCTGTAATTGGCCGTATTCATGGTAGACCCTAAAAATACCCACCTGATTGCCCAGATTGCTTCTCAAAAGCTTTGACGAGCTGATTTAAAAACGAGTTTTACAAATACAGTAGGTACCGTCAGTGTAAAGTGCTAGTAACTAAGGTAACTAGTGTATATTAAAGTGTGCAGCACGCTAGATTTCTGCATTGTTGGTTTTAGGTTGTCTGTCCTGTACAATGCTAGGAAATATAAAAAAAAAAAACCCGCAAGATACTAACTTTGGAAATATCCATTCAGAAAATAGAATGTAAAACCGAAGAACATTGAAACTCACAAAACATTTCTCCATTTTCAAAATATTTCAATGCCATATGTGCTTCTTTTATGATGTTCATAAAACTATGTTAGAAGTCATGCTTTTTTCTTTCGTAGAGCAATATTATTTTCTTCTAATGATTTCTGATTTTGTATGCTTCTACCGGTGGAATTTAATAAAATACTAAAATGCAGTTTTTCAGGGAAGAAATAGATCAACCAAGTAAACTACTTAATTACAAAAATAATCCAGAATGCTATGGTTTTGTCTCTTGAAGATGGTTTTCTCATATCACAAAGAATTGTAATATAGGGGAGAAAAGCTGATTCAATTGCAGGTTTAGAGTTCTGTAAGCAGTACTTTTCTTTTAAGCCTTTGACTTTTACAGCTGAGGGAGTACACCTTTTATAATCAGAAATAATAAGGAAGCTAATTTCATGTCAGCTGTTTTGTTTCAAACCCCTCATTCTTGTCTGTGTTGGACAGTCTTTGTTTCTCAGGATAAGACAGCCGGTCCCTTGTTGTATTAGTGGGCAACAGTCGTCTCTACCCTGCATAATGCAAAATCCCATCTGAGCAAACGTGGCGGGGTTGTCCTGCAGCTTTAACTGTTCAGTGCTCAAATTAGAGTTTGTCTTGACTTCTACTGGATCGCAGGCAGTTCTGTCTGCATTACGCTCCTGTGCGCTAGTTGTTGTACTGTTTTTTTTCCATCTTGAGAAATGATAGAGAAGTAAAAGCAGTAACTTTTTTACTTGAATCCTACCGACACTGAGGAAATGCAATGTAATCAAACAAAACCATTTACGAATGGTGAAGTGAGCTGTGCAGCCCAGTGCTATTAAAGCAATGATGTGCCTATTAAATAAAGTCTGCTTTTCAAAACCTTATGCGACTCCGTCGTTGGCAATCATCTAGTGGCTCTCTCTAAGAGCGGGAAATATTTCTGAACATTAAAGGAGGTTTCAGTCTGCTAAAAGTAAAGGTTTAAAAAGTATGTCATGCGTTTCTATACGCCGCGTTTGCATGAACAACAGTCGCTGTGTGCTGGAGGGACAGGAATGGCCTCACGAAGTGAGGCCGAGCTCAGAATGAGCGGGACAGAGTTTCCATTTAAGTCTGCTGAGCACAGAGGTCCATAGCTTGTTAGACTCCTCGCTTAGATTGATTTCAGTGAGACTAAGGCACTAATGCTTTTGAAGATGTTGGCCTTAACTGCTTTGTATCTCTCTTTTTCCTCATGTGCAGATGTTAAGTATGTAATGATGCTTTCACTGGCCTTTGCTTTCAAATCTGTGAATGATTCAAATCCAGTCCTAGCAGGCACCCTGCAGGTAAGGTGCATGTGGCGGGAGCAATTTCAAAACCATCCCAGAGGAGATCAGCAATGACCAAATACCTCTTCTCCTCCGCCTTGTGTGCAAAGGCCGGCAGAGGACTTAGAGGAATGCTACGGCGAGAATCGCATCTCCTGCAGTGCCTGTCCAGCCTTGCACACAGCCAGAAGCTGCTACTGCCACTGCTGATACTGACATGGCGCAGTGCCATCTCTTTTTGTGATGACAATGCCTGTACAAATTAAGTCGGGAAGCTCTGATTTAAAGCAATGGCATTTCCAGCTAAATGACTGCTGGGCAGGCTGAATCCTATTAAAAAATAAATCTGTATATCTCTCATTGTCACAGTTTAATGCAACTGGAAGAATAAAACATTGAGCTTCCAGACATGGCACAAAAGCAAAATCTCAGTGCTACAGGCAGGATTATGCTAAAAATTGGCACAGTTTCTATCTGTTGGTGTCATTCATGTTCTCTACCTGCTCATTTTTATATTGTGATATTCTTCCTATTTTAATAGTATGGAAGAGACTTCTAAGCTCCTCCTTAGCTAAATGTTCTGTTGATCAAAGCATGTGAGAGATAACGTTATCAGCGGCAAGAGAAAAAAAACTTTTGCAAAGTAATTTTTTCATTCCCATATCAGGTTTCTAATTTCTAAAGTAGAGTGAACAGAACCAGTGGCAGGGAGCTGCAGGGATTAACCACCTATCCGTACTTGCCTAAAAATGTTATACTCTATCTATTACTTTAATATCTATGTCTTTCACGTAAAAAAAAGATGTATCATAAAGTTGTTTCTCCCAGCATCAATTATTTTTAGGGTAACTAGATTAAATAAGTAAGATGCATTATTTTACCCTGAAGTGGCTAAAATTCAAGATTTTTTAAAATATTCTGTGGTCAAGTTCCAGGGCAATGGGTTTAACAGAGAGATTTCCTTTTCCTCTAATGCTCCATTTTCAGTAGGTAGCATTTGTATTTTTCTGTAGAATCACTCGGGGGATCAATGGCTTCAGTAGCATTTTCTGTCTATGCAGTTTGGGCGGGAAACTAGTTTTACAATAAAAGAAGCACAGTAACTGAGCCCAAGGTAAGGAATGTACCAATCACTCAGCAGGTGAAGGTGCAGCATTATTTTGATGACCATGTTGAATGAAGGTTATAGAATAAATTGAAATTCAAAGAAGTCAGTAGGGTTTTAAGTTGCTTTGATGACTGCAATACAGATGTCTTCTGTGACTTTACATGGATACACCAATTCTTTGAAAAACTTCCTGCCAAGATAATCTTGATTTTGTAGTAATCATTTTCAGTCACTGATCTTCAGAAAGGTGCCAATACGGGTAGAAAACGGTGCTTCATACCTCCTTTCTTCATATATAGAGTTTCCAGCACTTCTTTTCTTACCTACTGGCCACAAAAGGCTTGGATCAGAGCTGCTCCTGGCAGCTTGTGTTTTCATCAGAACATCCTGTAGTTCCGTTTGCCCACTTCTTGGAGGAGACCATGCTCTTTACTTTTCAGGTAGTTCCTGGTGTCCGTAGAGGTTATCCCAGACACAGGTGGGCTCAATGAAGGAGGAGAATAGTTGCTGTTAGCAGATGGATTTGGACAGTTAGCAGTTTCCTTTTTTGATTTAAATGGCTCGTGGTTGAGAGTAATTCTGTAAGGAAGTAATTGTTTGATCGGTACTAGTATATGAACAGGCCCTTAGGAGCATGCCTCCGGCATTGCTAATGGGGTCAGTATTTTTTGGTGTGCTTCTACAAACAGCTCCAGTAATGTTTAGGTGAGAAAATAATCTTTAGATAAGAGGTGATACTTCTTTGAACATTCATCACTTAATTTTGCCAAATCCAAGTCCTTGGTCCTCATCTTCTTCAGTGGGACTGTGCCTCTTGGTGTCATATGCAGTTCTAGACTTTTAAGAGAGGAACAAGCCTGAGGTCATTCTTGAAAAGAAATAAGGAACAAAGCCAGTGAAAGTCTGAAACAGCTCCAGTAATGTTTAGGTGAGAAAATAATCTTTAGATAAGAGGTGATACTTCTTTGAAGAACATTCATCACTTAATTTTGCCAAATCCAAGTCCTTGGTCCTCATCTTCTTCAGTGGGACTGTGCCTCTTGGTGTCATATGCAGTTCTAGACTTTTAAGAGAGGAACAAGCCTGAGGTCATTCTTGAAAAGAAATAAGGAACAAAGCCAGTGAAAGTCTGATATAAACAAAGCAAGCAAGGAATAATCTGTATGAAAATTACTTACTTACAAAGCTCAGTCAAACAAGAAAGCATGTGCATCATTTCCATATCTTCAGCACAAAGCAAAAATCATTAGATCTGGCTCTCCGCCTGCGTTACGTTAGAAAATGACATTAAAGCAGCTGTGAGTTTAGCACAGTGAAAGTTTAACACAATATGCCTGTGCTTTGGATTCCTGACGAACTTATTTCTTTCCAGGGAAAACTGCTCAGCTGTCTTTGAATTATTGTGTTATGTCAGGATTTATGTCTGAGAAATCCTCCCTGCTTCTGGAGACAGCACTAGGGGAGGTGGTGCTGTTGTGGTGGGAACATTTCAGTGCGTTACACAAAAAGCACCCCAAAGGCTCTTTTTAGAATCAGAAAAACACCCCAACGTTCCCTGAGAGGCCCAAAATGCTCAAATGTCAAATATGCAATACCTACTATAATTATACAGTATGACCATTGCTAGTGTTGCTTCAACCTGACGGGTCACGAAGGGTCTTCTCTCTTGGTAAATATTAACAAGGTTTCGGAAGAACTGAAATACCTGTTCATTCCCCATGTCCCTCTTTCCCAAGTCTTACGGTTAACAACCTCTGCGCCTGTTTGCCTGTGCATCAGTCCACCTTCTGGTGGTGTTCAGAGGGCGTTTTATCTAAGGAGCTGCTTCACCACGGCAAAGCCGGCCCTACAGAGAGCTGTTAGTATGTTCTGGTGAGATTCTGCTTGTTTCAGACTAAATATTTTTATATAGGAAAACTGACTGTTCTAAACTGGATTTTATTTTATAGTAGCCTCTTTTTAAAATTTGTGATTCTTTTCTAATTTTAAGCCAAGGCGTGGGCTGCCACCACAAAGGACAAGTCTATCTCCAGTTTTTCCATGATCTCGTTTATTTATAAATAGAACAGTTCCCTGGTCTGGTTACCGTGCCGGCTGGGAATACATATCCAGGGTGCTAAGAACAGCAGGTTGTCTCTTCCAACAGCAGCCTGTCTTTACATCGCCTTAAAGTGATTGTATACCTGTGGAATTAGGGACGCAACCACGCGCTTTCACTGGAAGTCCTTTATTATTCACAACAAAAGAACGTTTAGGTGTAGACAACCAGCCTTGAGTCAGCCCTAGGAATACCACTCATTTCCCTCAGAAAGTAAGAGCGCTACATTACACGACAACCCCAGTCTCTTCCGTATGCGAGCTTGACTAGGATTTCATATTCTAAGCTTCAAAAGAAATTCCTCTTCCAATTCGCTAGGGTTTGGGAAATTTCATTAGCATTTGTAATACTCCTTTGCACAAATTTGATTATCAGCATATTGTTTTAATTACTTGGAAATCAAATATATTGGA